ACAGCCTCCTGAGGTCTGAAATGCCTGAGGAAACTGTTTTGATTGGGTACGCGGACGACGTTGCAGTTTTGATAGCTGCACGTAGCGTTGAGCTGGCTCAGCTAAAGCTGAACCGAGTTATGCGTACTATAAACGCATGGATGACAGACCACGGTCTCTCGCTTGCTTTGAGCAAAACTGAGATCGTGATATTAACAAAAAAACGGATTGACACCATCGTGCCGTTGAGGGTAGGAGCCGTCGAAGTCCAGACCGTTCGTTCTGCCAAGTACCTTGGGATTATGGTGGACAGCAAGCTTAGCTGGCGGGATCAGATCTTCCGTACGGCGGACAAGGCCGCTAGGGTGGTCTCCTCTCTTAGCCGGTTGATGGCCAATGTCGGAGGGCCTCGGTCCAACCGTACACGGAGGGTCTGTGTCCAACAGAGTAGAGGGGGTTTTTTAGTGAGTAGTCTGTGATAGATTCAGGAGTCTCACACTACAGGCTGGCTACCTGTGTGCGTAAAAGCATTTTCCCTCCTCTCCCTTAGAAAAAAAAAAAAAAAACTCTAACAAATTATAGCTTCCACTAAAACAAACTAAAGATTTTAAAGACTGCTAAAAAAAATAGATCATCTAGTATTTTATTATGTATATTTTAATAATCTGTCATCCTCTTACCGAATAAATGAACGTATTAATGATTATAGCATTATACATAGTATAAATAAGTCAACCCTACGTATGTAATTTAATTTTTATCCAAATGCTGAATTTGTGTTGCGAACGCTGAATGTTTACAGCTGTTACGTTAAGCAAATGGTATTAATAGCAAAAGCTAGTCTAGAATGTTTATATCGGCAGCAAGACTTTAAAAAATTGAAACTTAATTTCTAAAAAACTGGGACCCTAAACTAAAATTATGGCTTCAACATTCCCTAGTTCTCAAAATTATCTTTCTTTCAACACAAAAATCATGAAAATCCGTCAAGTGGTTGATTCAGAATTGTGAAATAGAAAAACCCTGTCACGTTTTAATATTATAGATTGCAAAAGAATGTGCAAGGTACCTGCTTATTTGGTGTATTGAATTTTAATAAATAGGCCTACAGTAAAATCATAAAATCGTACATGAAAAATATTTTAAAACCTAAAATATTATATTATAAAATTACTTCATACAAAATGCAGCATACTGATAATCTAACAGGTTTAAATATTATTTCAACATTAGATTGCTTGATTAAAATCAGTTTGCATATGTAAGACGCATTATATTGAGTATATTAATGAAACTCGTCCTACACTCATCTCCATTCATATTTGGCTTAAAATACCTACTTTGTATGGTCGCCATTTCATTGTAAAGTAAATATGATGATTGTATGTTCATACAGGGGTCCCATTGGCAAATTTGCCTGGGGCCCCGAAAGTCTTAGGTCCGGGCCTGTAAATTACTAGGCATGCAGCCTCAGGTCCGCCAATTGAGCGGAGTGAAGCATCGATATAAACAAATAACCTTCTTTATAAATAAAATTTTTTGTTTCCAAATATATTATGGATTAAAACGTAAAAACAAAAGTGAATTTTATTGATCAATACAAACCTCATTATTCAAGCCAACAGTTATAAGCAATTTTCTTGAGTCTTTCAATCTCTTTTTCTTTGCTTGTCATTTGCTGCTCTTATTTATGCTTTCGACTCTCTCTATAGAAAATGGATCGATCAACAAGCCCTCGATGGTTATAACTCCTAATGCTACATAAGTCAAGCCGAGGGAAAATTCTAACTTTCCTAGGTCCACCACAGCCTGATATACAGTACCAGTATGCAGCTTGGCTGCGATGTACCAAAATCGCACAGGCAAGATTTAGTGGAAATTGCCTTCGAGAATATTTGACAACATTCAGTTTAAAGGAAGTAGTTGAGTTGTTGTGTTTATGTAAAACCTGTGGATTGTAGTAAATCTCCAACCTGACATCAAAATGCCAACATGCTAGTTCTGTTGGCTGCAATAATTAATCTTATTACGGGAAAAAGGAGGAATATCGATTATCATATGATGCTTGGTTATAACTGTACTCCCGTACAGGCCAAGCAGTCTAGGCCAATTAATTAATGGCCTACTTTTCTAATCGTAACTGTATTTCTTTACAGACGACTATTTATTCATTTAAGCTAAAAATAGACTTCAACACAAGCTTAGTTAAATATTTACTTAAATAGTTGTAAGTTGACTACTGAACTTCCGTACAGGCCTAGCAGTCTAAGCTAGTATGCCTGTGCATCGTAATCGTAACTGTACAGGCCTAGCCAATTATTTGCACACCTTAGTTAAAATTGGACTTCTATATAAGCCTAGGTATTTATTCAATAATTACTATAGTCGCAACTTGACTTCTGTACAGGCCTAGCAACTGTATTTATATAGGATAGGCTACTGTTATCATCATTTGAAAATACTGAATACCTGCTTCAAAAATGCAGTTTCTATAATTTTCAATAATAAAGATTTTCTTTTGCTGTTATAAAGCAATATTTGCTACAAAACTAATAGAAATAAGAATCACCAAAAGAAATAACTTGTATAAGGCCGACAGTAATTAGTAATGCGAATCTGTGTACTGCATTATTAATCAATGCTTAATGGTATTCATCGGACTGCCCTTTTCTTTTGTACTGTCTTTTGTAATTACAAGCAGTTACCCCAGGAACTGTACCTAGGCCATCTGCGCACGAGCAAGCTGAGATGCCCGTGGGTACACGATGTCGAGTCGCATACGCTACGATTATTTGTTTACATCTACGTTGTTATCTCGTAACCAACATGGCAACCCTTAAGACTAATGTTAAACATTGCAAATTTTATGTCAGTTTAAAAGTGTACAGGTATTATCAAATTGAAATTTGTTTGTTTAGTAACATCAAAAATATTTGTCGAAATACCACTGGTAAGTTTGGATTCAATATGTTCAGCCGTTATTGAGTCAATTGATTACATAGTTTGCATAAGGTCCAATCTCAAAGAGCTTCGCTCGCTCCGCTCAATTATAGAACTAGGAAACAAAAAAATAAGTAAGTACACTTTGTAAGTACATCTTATATACTAAAAAACTTTTGCAAAACTTATGACAGCTAGCCTGACCATACGACTGGACCGAATTACATGCGGTTGATACCAAATGAAAAATATTTACCTGTAGATGTGCAGAATCCCTTTATAAACTAAACTAGGCTCACAAATAAGCACAAAAATTGAATTTGAAATTTTGTAAAAATTAACATGGGTCTTATGGGTTGCCATGGTGATGACAAAATAACACTAAAATATAAACAGAAAATCAAAACAAATGTAAGACATTCCAATCACATGTTTTATTTACAGTGACGGGTGAAATTAGAAAAGTCTGTACATTACATATTTTTTGTAGAGTTTTCGATCACAGGGCGACCTCTAGGAACTAATATAAAAATAAACTTTTCTTATGGCGATTGTTTTAAGCTTACGACAGACACCCTGGCCATAATACTGGACCGATTTACACACAGTTGGTACCAAATGAAAGGTAATTGTCTGTATATTTGCCCATTTGGCTTCGACTTCAGATATTACTGGACTAAATGTTATAAAAACGGAAATTAAAATATCTATTGACACTTTAAAATGGGGTAAAATGTTTAGTCTATTAAGAGTGAGATCTGGAGTTATATTGGACCGATTTGCATGCAGGTTGTGTTAAATGGAAGGTAAACTTTCCCAAGTCGCTGAAAAGTTTACTATTAATTTATATAATCTTCTAAAAATGGAATATAAAATCTTATATAATAAAAAAGCTTTTGCAAAACTTATGACAGCTAGGGTTATAGTAGTATGTTTTCTGTGGCTAGACTGACCATACTACTGAACCGAATTACACGCATTTGGTACCAAATGAATGATATTTCCCTTAGATGTGCAGCATCCCTTTATAAATTAAAATATGTTTAAAAATAAGATCAAAAATCTTTTTTAAATTTAAAAAAATAACATTGGTGATTTGGGTTGCCATGTTCGTGACATTCATTTATACTATTCATTTATATAATTCTTTTATATTAATACTATTCATTTATATAATCTTCTAAAAATGGAATATAAAATCTTATGTAATAAAAAAGCTTTTGCAAAACTTATGACAGCTAGGGTTATATAGTAGTATGTTTTCTGTGGCTAGACTGACCATACTACTGAATCGAATTACACGCATTTGGTACCAAATGAATGATATTTCCCTGTAGATGTGCAGCATCCCTTTATAAATTAAAATATGTTAAAAAAAGATCAAAAAATCTTTTTTAAATAAAAAAAAATAACATCGGTGATTTGGGTTGCCATGTTCGTGACAAAATAACAACAAAATATAAACAGGAAATCTAATCAAATTTCATAAGTTCCTATCATATGTTTTATTTACAGTGTGGGGTGAAATAAGAGAAGTTTACACAATACATACTTTTGGTCGAGTCTTCGACCACGGGGTGAGCTCTCGTTCAAACCTAATATTAACCAGATGTTGTAAATTATTGTTTGTCTATGTTTGATTTTATCATTTAAAAGTAAGTAAACGCTTTGAGTTTTTATTTGTTTTATTGTTTGAAAATGTTTTTTATGTAATTAGTAAGTTAAAAGTTTTTGATAGGTACATTTATTGGAATTTAATCTTATTTTACACGGTTTTTCATTTCAGATTTCAAAAAGCACCATTTAAACATACATCAACCCCGGACGAAGGACGGGTACTCTGCTAGTTGCAATCTATTTTGAAAATTCATCATTGGGTTAAGAAAGAACGATGTGAAATCAACGGAGAGGTCTGTGAGGAAAGTTTGCAGTTATATTTATTTTATATATATCATGTTAGTCCTAAACACTCTGATGTTGAACATTTCAAAGTAGGTAACGATTTAAAGATTTAAAAAAAAAAATAAGCCTGCATTAGTCAAATTACATCTAATGATCAAAAGCTGCATAAAAAAGGATACGGTAAACGAAGAACCCAGTATGCACTCTGAGACAGTTTGATTGGTTCCTGGCAACCTGTGACGAAGGTGGGGCAAGGCAGGGGGGCAGGCTGCACCCGGGGGTTGAGGGTGACATGGACGGGGGCCTTGGGAGTCACAACGTGCACCCTCATGAGCTGGGCGGTCAGCGGCTTGCTGCTCCTATGTGAGGGAAACCAACATACCATTTAGCGAATTTCCCATATAGGAAATAAGCTATTAACGTAGGTCTCATGGTAAGACCTAGACCCGAGACCAATTTACTTTTTCGTTTTGAGGTCCCCAGTGGCCAAAAACACCATCCGTTCAAATTCATATATATATATATATATATATATAGTATATGTGTGTGTCCATTAGCGCGATAACTCGAGCAAAAATGATCTGATTTTGATTAAATTCAGGATGGTAAGTAGGTGTTTATTATGCAAAATGCACTATTTTCCCCCCTCTGTGCTCGCCGCCATATTGGAAAAATCTGAATCGCCATATTGGCACTTTCTTGAGATTTTCGCCTATAGCTGCGTTTTGGTGTGTTTTAGCGAAAAAGAAGATATAGTCAATGTTGTAGACAATTAAATTTCCTATAATATACGTGAACATCTTGTTTATACCACTTATGGCTAAGAAAATATTCACTTAATGAAAAGGGGAAAAATGAAATTTTCCCGAATTTGCCAAAATTGTAACATTGGATTGCTGTAATTCAGTAATGACCTATTCTAGCAAAACAAGTATCACAATAAAATTTGTAGAGAACTTGATTACCTTCAAAATGCTTCTATTTTTCTTTATTAACCGTTGGAAGTGGGGCCAAAAAAATTAAAAGCAAACAAAACTGATTAAAACAATGGGTCTATTTTTTTGCTTTTGTAACACCACATTTTATCTAAAAAATAGCACAAATTATTTTTCTGTTTTAGCTTGAATTTTTAACCAAACTTAAGTTTCTTACATGTAACAGCACAATGCTCATGATGCAGGTAATATATTCCCTTTACAAATATCCACTAGTGAAAGGAGCTGTTCAATTTCAAACACAGCAAGTACATTTTTAACCCTTTCAGTGCTAGACCAATAATTCATATTTTGTAAGACTTTTTTGTTTGCCTTTTAATTCTATTACCTGTTGTTGACTTTTAACTGTCATGTTGTCACTATTTTATTAACTAGGCTAATTTTGCATAATAACACAGTAAGAAAATATATAAGAAATATAAGAAATCCCGGTATTTGTAGTAAACATTAAATAAAACTTAGTTTTAGCGAATTTCCCTATAGGGAAGTAGCTATTACCGTAGGTGGCACGGTAAGACCTAGACCCGGGACCGATTTACTTTTTCATTTTGATGTCCCCAGAGGCCAAAAACACCATTTGTTCAAATTTTTATATATGTATATATATATAGACTTATATATATATATATATATATATATACGTCCGTGAACGCGATAACTTGAGTAATTTTTGTCCGATTTTAATGAAATTTGGTTTAAAGGTGTAAAGCGGGATAAACTTGAATGAGTTTGCGAACCAGCAGGATCGGACCATGGGAACGGAGCTTTACGGGGGGTTTTATGGGGTAAAAATTGGTTTTTCTCACTTTTGACCATCAAAACACAAAATTTCCCGATTTCTCTTTAGACTTTTTTAAAGAAATTAAAAAAAACAAATAATTTAGTATATAAAAGTATTTTTGTTCGATTATTAGTAACGAAGAAAATTAAAAAATTGTAAATTTAAAATTCCCACGTTATTCTTATGGAGAATATTGTCAAATGTTGTAGTTTGCTTGTTTATGGATATATTTTGATCAAACTTGGCAAATTTATTTATTTTTTACTACTATTTTACTCAAAAACACACTTTATTAGTTTCCTTGTTGCAGCAAACCTAGGTACTTGTTAAACCTAATGTTGTTAAAATATATTTAACTGAAAATCAATTCAGACAAATGAAATTCGCTTAGTCGGCAGGTTTGCTGCGGCGGGGGTATTTGTTGTAATTTTCCTGGTTTTCCTATAAGTTTTTATGTTCTGATAGCATTATTTGAAACCAAAATCTCATAAAATCAAAAGACGTATAGTTTACAATGTAATATTGAATTTAACCTTGATTTAGTTGGACGAGGTTATCGTAATATAGCCATTTTAGGGAAACTAATGTTTTGCAGCAAAGTCTCAGGAACACATTTACTACTACTAAGACTAAAAGATTGCATCTAAATAGTCCGTGACTAACTGGTGCTGCTACCTAGTAACGCATTGAACAACCATCTGCAGCGCCATCTGTTCGCAATCGGTGGCGACAGCTTAAATACAGGTTTTTGACTCCCCAGTCTTCAAGCACAGATAGCCGAGAAGGCTAGGGCGTGTGTCACTTGGCCAGTGGCATTCGTCTGCTCGGGTTCGAATCCCGTCCTGTGTGGCAAATAATTGGTGACGTGTGTGTTTGTAGCGATATACTACAACCACTGGGGCATAGTGAGGTGTTCATAATCCTTGGTTTAGACATACACCTCGAAATCATCGGATTGGGCGAATCTTTTAGCTAAGTGGTTGGTAGTGTATCCTATGAACATGCAGGTCACCAATGGCCGTTTTGCTATTTTTTTTAAATAACCTTCCTCTCTATATCCCTTAGGGTTTTTTTTAAAACAACGATATATCGTTTCATAGCACTGAAAGGGTTAAAGATTAATTAAAAAAAAAAATAATAATAAGATCAAATACAGTAATAACTAGTGTACCTGTTGCTCGAAATCAAGCAATTGCGAAGCATTACAGGCGACTCACGAAGATTATGGAAATACTCACGATCTACACAACAGTTAGATATAATCAAAATCTTTTGTAAATATCTTATCTTTTCTCAAAAAGCTGATCTTGTTTTTTAGTGTTTCTACAAATTTTTCCCTCTCATAGCCGCATTAGGTTGTCTATAATAACAATTATAAATGAAAAAAAAACATTATTTCTTTTCTTCTACTTGGTTGTGTTCTATGACTTTTTCTATGTTTTCGTGTTTTATGTTGACGTGTTCTATGTCAAGATGGTGGACATCTAGCATCACCTGCAAAGTGCTCCCATATCTAAAGTGTAGTTTAAGTGGTAAAAAACAACAAATTTACTAATTAAACATCACACATCCAAACAACAACTTTATCAAGTGATTTTAAGACAAAAACATTTTGGAAGAAGTGAAACTCGAAGACATCAACCTCAAATCAAGCAAGTAGGTCGTACACATCAGCACCTTCACATGAAAGGTACTATTAATCAAGACCCTCAAGAAAATCTCATGAAAAGCCAATATCGAGACAAACTGAACATGACTGTAAGTTATTAATACAAGTTTAATACCAACAATAACATTTACCTCAAGAATTCATTGAACAGATGGTTATCTTGTAAACATCGCACAGTTTAAAAGTTTCAATTTTACATTTACATATAAGTGTCCAAATTCTTTAAATTAAACTCTGCAAATATATCAAACCACTAAAGCACAATAAATATTAAAAAGTACAAAGAAAGAAATTTCACCAATATATTTGTGACAAAGTATCAAATTGACAACCAAGCAGTGACGTCATAGCCAACTCACAGCTTTATACATTCTTCACTTCCAACACGACACCTGCTGCCTGGGAGTGTTTGAACTGAGAGTTGCTGACTGCACACTCAGCACACCCTGACCACAGACACTGCCACTTCTAACAGTGTCTACAACCTACTACCAACCAGTAATACAGTGCAACACTGTATTCCTCATTACTCTACATAAATTTTGGACAACAGAAATAAATTATTTATTTATTTAAATATTTCTATCCTGACATAAAGAACCAGCCAAACTTTTCAAAACTGATATAATTTTACACCTGATCCTCAAGATTCCTGACATAAAGAACCAGCCAAACTTTTCAAAACTGATACAATTTTACATCTAAACTTCAAGACCCCTGACATAAAGAACCAGCCAAACTTTTCAAAACTGATATAATTTTACACCTGAAACTCAAGATTCCTGACATAAAGAACCAGCCAAACTTTTCAAAACTGATATAATTTTACACCTGATCCTCAAGATTCCTGACATAAAGAACCAGCCAAACTTTTCAAAACTGATACAATTTTACATCTAAACTTCAAGACCCCTGACATAAAGAACCAGCCAAACTTTTCAAAACTGATATAATTTTTCACTGAACTTCAAGATCCCGGACATAAAGAACCAGCCAAACTTTTCAAAACTGATATCATTTTACACCTGAACTTCAAGATCCCTGACATATAGAACCAGCCAAACTTTTCAAAACTGATATAATTTTACACTGAACTTCAAGATCCCTGACATAAAGAACCAGTCAAACTTTCCAAAACTGAATCAGCAACTGGATTAACTAACATGGAAATAAGCAACAAAACTAGCTTTAATACCGGACAAATTGTGTTTGTAAAATTAAAAGGGTACCCACACTGGCCAGCTAAAATTACTGAAATTTGTACAAATTAAAAAAATTGCACCTCAAAATATAAGGTAATTTTTTTGGCGACAACAACACTGCTGACGTTAGAGAAACTGATATGTATTGTTACGAAAAAAGTAAAGATCTGTATGGGAAACCAAAAATAGACAATTTTAAAAATAAAGTGTTCAACAAAGCCTTAAAGGAAGCAGAAAATGCCTTCTCAAACCCGAAATGCTTGAACCCTGACAGAAACACAACACTAGACAGTAATGTCCCTCCACTAGAAAATCAGCAGCTCAGAGATGTCCTAAATAAAGTACAAGATTTACAAGAACAAGAACAAAATCCTGATGATCTAGAGACATCGCTCACACTTGCTGCGGAAGCTGGACATGCTTTACTGTTAGAAATTAATAAATTAAAGCAAGAACTACATGATATGAAGCAAAAATTCTCTTCCTTAAAATGCCAAGACTTCAGAGACAATAACTTTGCTGACATGAACCTTGCTGAGGCAAAAATTGAAGAGCTTGAAAATGGCAAGGAAGTCCTGCTCTCCCAAAATGCTTCTTCACTGGTTAAAACACTAAATGAAGTAGAACTCCAACTAGAGAAGGAAAGACAGCTAAGAATTAAAATGATAGAAACCTTTGAAGAACAAGATAATGAAAGAGAAAAACTACTACT